CTCCTGGATTCCAGGACATACATTGCATTCAGCTTCTACTAGAAGCTACTGGATGTTCCTCAGCTCTCACCCTCTGAGCATTCCAGCTCTTTTCCAGGCTTCCATTGTGCTATCAGTTCCTCACAGGACACACTGCTGTTGAGTCCTCTCCCACATGCAAAGCAGAAGACAGTTGCAACGTGTGCCCAGACCCCAGGGCTATCAATCCCTTTCCTTCCCAGTGGATAAGGCTGCAAAGTCAGATCCCCAATCTGTGCACAAAGGCTGCCTATGGAAGACACTCAGGAATCCACAAAATAACTGCACTTTGTCCTAAAACTCTCCTAAGATTGCCAGGGATGAGGCACAGAGAACTGAATTCTGCAGAGTGGGAGCTGCTCCAGCCCCTCACACACCCACTGCTCTCTGAACACAGCCAGCATGGCATTCCCAGCCGTCTCCCAGACCCAGACGAGAGCAGAGGCAGCAGGGCAGAGGTACCTCACCTACTCCACACCCCGAGGTGGGAGTTCACGAGCTGTCTGTGCCCCTGGGATGCTCCATGGGGGGCAGAGGTGGATGGATGCCCTGATTGCTGCAGGTGGAAGCCTCACCAGGGAGAACTGGTGAACGAGAAGGGATTTAAGGGTGCAGAGCAGCCAGTGCAGCTCCTCAGAGAACCAGAGCCAGCAGGGAGGTGTTTCCCAAAGCCTAAATGTGTTTTTTCCTAGTCAATTTGCTGTTGCAATCCCCCTTTCTCCTGTACTTTTATTGATGCTTAATCCAGCCTGAACTCAGACCAACCTGTCTTCTACTTAAAGGCTCCTCCTTCTCCTCACTTTGTGCACTCAAATAAGTAAGTTTTCGCAAGTTTACTGTGCATTGTACAACCTAAAAAGAAATAAAGTAGATGAAATTGAAAAGTTTTCATCACATCTCTGGAAAATCAGTTACTGTTGGGACAGCCCTTTGTACACAGAACAGTCACAACACAATTCACTGCACCAGAGGGACAGGGTGGCAGCATGGGCAGCCAAATTGTGGTGGTGTTTTTGTGAACTACCATTTAGACCTACTGAAAGCTAAGACATCCCAAAGCAAAATGCACTTTGTCGATAAATGTACACAGCTAAGCCAGTTCAGAATCAAGTATCAAACCCCTACAAACAAAATACTTCATACTTGGAACAAAACCAACAAGCTGAGAAAAATCTGTGACCTGCACCAGGACAGAAGCACAACGTTCAGTCTTCCCAGCAGTGGGAAAAGGACTGGACCAACGCCAGTGATTACACACCCTGTTCATATGCCAGTGACAGCCCAAAGCGAGTTACCAGACTAGCCACCAAAATTCACAGTGACCTGAGTGCCAGCAGCAACTGCAAATGGCCCAGGGAAGTAGTTTGAGTGGGGCAGGACTTGGATTTCTTCTGCTCCAGCTGTGCCTGCATGGGCTGTGCCTGTTCAGGCTGCTCCAGAGGAAGCACAGAACTCTCATTTGTCATCAACACAAAACCCAGCTCAGCTCCTGGCTCAGCCCAAACCCAAACCTCAGAGAGGACAGTGCCTTCCTAGCTCACACTGCTGCCAACCACGTGGCTTTTGGGATACGAACAGAGTCAGGTGAATAAATCAGCTGCAGACCTTGCTGAGAACTGGGACTGGCATTGGTCAACACCCCGAATCAGCACCAAGATTCAAACTAGAGGCACAGTTCTGACGGACGAAATAGCACCAAGGAGGCTCATTACATCTCTGCTGGTGTGCCAGTCCTTTAGTATTCAAAGGATTTAACAATAAGTCGTATTGATGAGTCTAGGTGGAATAAAATAAGTCAAAATTGTTTTCACTTTAAAAAAAGATAAATACTTTATCTAAACTATCAACAATACAAACTGGAGCTTTAAGCATTACTTTTGCCTCTTTTTTTGCCTTTTTTTTTTCTTTTTTTCTTACTCAGATTCACAGTTAAGTATTTGCTCTATTGTTTAGGTCTTTTTATGGTTTTTATTTTGTCCAGTAGTAAGAGAGTAGAAACCCCTGCACAGGCCAGGTGAGCACCTTTCAGTGGAAGCCGAGTGAAGTTGGTCCACGTTGTCCTTGCATAGGTCACATTGGGTTGAGGTAGAAATCCTAGTTACCTGCACAACAGGAGGAGAGGAAGAGACTCATCTAAATAAAAGACAAAAATCTGCTGGGTGATAGATGTGTCAAGCATTTCTACATTGCTCCAAGACCTCCTCAGCCAGCAAAGATGGAGCAACCAACCCTCAGCCGAAGGGCAGTTAGAGGGAAGAGACAGATCCGCCAGGAGACACGTGGCCCATCCAGATGCTGCAGGTTTTTAAGCTGACTGTGTTGAACTTTGTCCTATGGGACTGACCACAAGTTGGGGCCAAAGAGATTTTCCTCCTCTCAGTACTTCACTTTTTCTAGTGCATATTAATCTGCTTTGAATTTGTTAATATAGGAGAGAAACGTTATCAATCATGGAATGGTTTGGGCTGGGAGGGACCTTAAAGATCATCTCATTCCACCCCCTGCCATGGCCAGGTACACCTTCCTGGTTGCTCCCAGCCCTGTCCAACCTGACTTTGAATATTTCCAGGGATGGAGCAGCCACAGCTGCTCTGGGCAACCTGTGCCAGTGCCTCAGCACCTCACAGGGAAGAATTCCTCCCGCACATCCCATCTGTCCCTGCCCTCTGGCAGTGGGAAGCCATTCCCTGTGTCCTGTCCCTCCATCCCTTGTCCCAAGTCCCTCTGCAGTTCTCTTGGAGCCCCTTTAGGCACTGGAAAGGGCTCTAAGGTCTCCCCAGAGCCTTTTCCAGGCTGAACACCCCCAGCTCTCACAGTCTGGCTCCACAGGAGGGAAGCAAAGCAGATTATTTTAGCTCCCAATTCCAGGTTCCAACCTTGGTTCATCGCAGACTGAGCACATGTATTCACACTGAAGTCAATGAAACTGCTGAAATATGTGACCTGTGTTCATGAGTCACACAGAGCAGGACCACAGCCCACAGCCCATCCGTCACACACCATCTCTGGTATCGTTAATTCTGCTCCTCTGCTCTACAACCCAGTTTTGTCATCCAGCTACTCTTCTCCAAATGTTGCTTTTGTGCCTTATCTATTTTGCTGAGAACCTTTTAGTGACAGGGACCATCACCCGATGGCATGGAGTATGGCCTCAAGCCTAGGGAACTTCAGCAGAGGCTCTCACTACACAGAACCTGGCCCTCTTCACCATCCCCATCCTCATCTTCCCCATCCTGTCTCTATCCAGGGTCTTCCAAACCCATGTCTGCTGGCATACAGGGCCCACAGTCCTCAAACCCCTTCCTCAGCCTCAGTTCCCTGTGGAGGAGGACAGAGGGAATACTTACGTGCCTCACAAAAGCCTAATGAGGGTTTGTGGTGTCTGTGGAGCAATTTGATGAGGAAAACACTATACACAATGCACAAAGAATCTCTCAGGTATATTGTAATTGAGTTGTATAAGCAGCAAAGAGTGTTCAACCATGTATTGTTTGTAGTTTTGGTATCAGTGGACAGCAACAACATCAGACCTACAAGGAAAGCACAGAGCAAGCTCCAGGGCCTGACACACTGATGGCACTTGGCAAGCAAAAGTTGATATAGCAGAATGCCACAGAGTATTGTCATGAACCACAGTACCCAATCCTGTGGTGGTACACTTTATTCTGGAATTGCTCTAGTGATAAATACCTGCTTCAGGAGAAAAGTACACAACCTCTGGATCCTTCCTCTCCTATGGCCCCAGCCTTATGGGGCTTGGAGCAGAGTCCCCCTGCAGATTCCCTGTGCTCTCATCCACAATCTACCCAGCTGTGAGCATAAATACAGCATGTGCTGAGCCTGATCCTGTCAGCCCTGACAGGCACAGCTGCAGTGCACAGGGATGTTCCAGCCCTTCTCTGCTACCTGTGGTTGTGTTTCCAGTGATGCAGGGAACACTGAAAGCCCAGGGAATTTTGCTCTCCAAGCAAAGCTGCAACCTGAAACCTAGAGATTTTTAACTCTATGACTATTTGAAGTAGTTGTTATTGACTGACAGTAGAATCAAGACCATCACATTGCCATATGCAGTCACCAAAGTGGCACCACCAGGTGCCCTAATGTCAAAGGACATGGACTAGAGGGATGCAACAGTCTGTGTCAAAGCGAAGGAAAGGGATCAAAGAGGCAACACCCATTGCAACAACTGTATAAAACCATATTAAAAATAGACATTTCCTCCTGATTACTGATCTTCAGAAATAAACATTTCCGTGAAGTGATCTCAACCTGAACAATCCTGATGAGCCAGAGCAGAGTTACTCCTGTGAGCACTCCTTGTCGAGAAATCCTGACTCCCAGAACAGGGAGCATCAACACCCTCCATCCTCTGCCACCAGATTTTTTGCTTCCCACATTGTAGAGGTTTCTTGCCCCATTTTAGAGGATTCCCCCCCATTTCAGAAGGCTTTTTCCCCCAGTCTAGAAGGCTCTGCCCCCAGTTTAGAGGGTTTTTTCCCCAGTTTAGAGGGTTCTGCCCTCAGTTTAGAGGTGTTTTTTCCCCAGTTTAGAGGGTTCTTTTCCCAGCTTAGAGGTTCTTTTCCCATTTTAGAGAATTTTCCCCCATTTCAGAGGTTCCTTCACCCATTTCAGAGGGTTTCCCCCTCAATTTAGAAGGGTCCTTCCCCATTTTAGAGGTTTCCTTCCCCATTTTAGAGGGTTTTCCAATCAGTTTAGAGGTTTCTTCCTCTATTTAGAGGGTTCTCCCCCATTTTAGAGGGTTTTCCCTTCAGTCTAGAGGTTTCTTCCTCGATTTTAGAGGCTTCTTCCACAGTTTTAGAAGGTTTATCCCCCGTTTGAAAGGTTTCTTCCGTGCTCCTCCATCGTGCCCATCCCCAACCCTATCTCTGCAAAAGCATCATCTCACATCTTGCAAACAACTCCCTCTGGTTTCTTCTCCAGCCTTACCTTACAAAACAAGAACTGTTAGCTAAGCAAGCTCTTTATCGTGGCTTAACCCCCGAAAGGTGCGAAGCGTAAGGAGGCTGCAAGCCCAGGGTGACCCACATCGTGGCCGTGCCAGCGGAGGCGGTGTCGGACTGCGGCAGCAGCGGCGCCGGGGCCAGCGCCACACGGGCCAGGGGAGGGTGGTGGACTGTAAAGGAGGGGCGGGAGGGTTTGTGCTGGAGAGAAGCCAGTTTAATAGACAAAGAAGCATTAGACTGGACAGAAGAAGCAGCAGAAGAGGATGGCAAAAACGCCTCGGATGGGGGCATGGAGGGCAGGCTCTGCAGGAGCGTGGGCTCGGGGTTAGAGGCGAGTAATGGAGGAGGAGGAGGCAAGGAGATGTTAGGAGGAGGATGGAAAACAGATTGCACTGGCGCTCTGTTGAGGCGCTGAGCGGCTCTAGTCTCGCTAGATGTTACTAAATTAGAGGAAGAGGGTGGGAAGGATGAGGATGAGGTGCTGGCAACAGCCTGCAGAGGGTTTAAGCTTAGCACTGTGCTGCTAGAGACAGCACTGCTGCTGAAACTGGCTCCAAACTGATGAGGAGAGGAGGCAGAAGGCACCGCATGGTTAAAAATACCTGCAAACAGGAGAGAAAAACTCAGCTTCAACAGATGGGCTTTGTACAGGCTCAAGTGACAAGAGAAACAAAACAAAACAAAAAAGAAAAAAAAAAAGAAAAAAAAAAGAAAAAAAAGGCAAAATTATAATAGTTACAGCCCCATACAAAAATATGCAGCGTGAGAAGGCAGCAAGCAATGAGAGATAATGGTTCAGGCCAGGAGGTACAAAAGATCTCACTTACCTTTCCTACTGCCAACCTCTAAATGCCACGAGGAAAAATGGTCAGACCCAAGAACTGTCAGTTCTATACCACACAGGCAGAGTTTTGATGAGATTACGTGGTCTTTAGAGTTGTTTATCTGGAGACTCAAACTGCTGCTCTTCCCTCCCCACCCTCCTGCTCCCCCACTTACAGGGCAGCAGAGGGGAGTTGTATTTCCAGCAAATCTATGTGCTGAGAGATGTGAGAGTTAGGATTTCCCGACATGGTGCCTGAATGATTATGGACAGGTAAGAAAAACTGCCCTGCACACTTAGAAAATGGCAGGTTCAGCCTATCTTCTAGTCCTGCCAGCTTGTCCCCGGTGTGGGCCACAGAAGCCAAGCCTGTGCAGAATCCCAGAAGTGCAAGGTGCATATGGCATTGCCCTTCCTGGCCAAGAAATGCACTTCATGTCCATTCAAGAGCCAGAATGCTATGCAACTCCCAAACCATCTCCTCTGATGTTCTGCTCTTCCTGGATCATGCTAAATGCATTCAAGGCCTAATCTCAACCTCCTCACTCAAGCTGACAAGTTAGAGATCCTTAGCTTGGTACCAGGACAAGTGAAATCTGTTACCTGCACACAGACCTAAGTTGGTTCCAACACATCTGAACAAGCAAACATTATCAATCACAAAGTCTGGGTGTATTTGTTTCATTAAGGTGATATAACAAGCTCATCTAGCAGACAAAGCTCATGAGATTTCACCGTGGGAAACTGAACTCATCCTAGCAATTCCAAGAGACAGAGAGGAGACTGGTTATGTGGGACAGATCTGCTTCACATCCTGTAGAAATGAAAGGGTTTCACCCCTGGAGAGGCAGTGTCAGACTTTCCTTTAGGCCCTGTCTTGTACCAGAGAAAAAGTTCTGCCTACCTCCAACTGTTCCACCTGTAACCCCAGGAGAGAAGTTCCCCATAGTGTGAGAGTTAGTCAGTCTGGTTGCAGCTGATGACACATGGACCAGACTGGCAGCAGCTGGCATTGAATTAAATAAGGACTGCAATACTGAGGAGTTTGTCACCGAATTGAGGTTTGCTTGCAAGGCCATGGGGCCGAGGGGGAACTGCGATCCAGTGGTCAGAGTGTTTAGGAAGGGATGGTGTGTCGGAACGGATGATGCTGGGTTGGCTGCCGAAGACACAGCAGTAGAAAGGCTTTTACCATTCAGAAGGCCACCAGATGAGACAGCAGCAGAAATGAAAAGGTTGTGGCCATTTTTAAACTCCACATCTCGGTCTCTTCCCTTGCCAACCTTCCCGTTGTGCTGCAGAGAGTTCTTCTCCAAGGAACCCCCCGTGCGCACGCTCATCTCGTTTAGCTCTTTGCCTTTGCCCCCGGAGCGATTCAGCTCTTCTCCTTTCATGCCACTGAGGCCTTCCAGTTGCCTCTTGTTCAAGAACAGATTTGTATCTGACACATCTTTGCTTCGCTGCGACTGGAAACCCATGGAGCAGTTGGAAGTGGTCACGTCAGAAGCCTTGTGTGGGAGAGAAGCACCATCAATGAAGCTGTGCAAGCCCAGGTCAGCTGTCAGTCCTCCATTGTAGGTGAAGCCATTGGTGGGGTTGGTGCTGGGGCTGAGCCCATCTGAGGGCATGGCCATACCCTTCCTCATGTGTGCAGTGACCTTGGTGTCCATGGCCAGGCTGTCCTCGGAGGAAGGCCTGAAGGCAAACAGCGAGTTCTGACTCAGAGATGAAACCGACTGCAAGGGACTGTCTGTAGTCTTGGTCAGGTTGATGTCAGATATTGGTGAAAAAGTAGATTTCCATTTACTGCTGTTCATGTTTTCGCTGGTTTGTGCTTGTTTCCTCCCAGATAAGCTGCCACCTGGTTTGGAAGAAAATTTGTATATGTCAAAAAACAGCATTCACTGAGTGTGCTCACTAAGAACAGTTTCATAGAACCACAAAATCACTGAGCTTGGAAAAGCCCTCTAAAATCATCAAGTCCAACCATCAACCCAAGATCACCACCATGTTCACAACTAAATCATGTCCCCAAGCGCCACATTCCACACAGCCTTGGGCAGTGGTGGAAATGTTTTACATCCCTTTCCATAGAGAAATTTTTCCTAATATCCAGCCTGAACCTCCCCTGACACAGCTTGAGGCCATTTCCTCTGGTCCTGTCCCTTGTTCCCTGGGAGCAGAGCCTGATCCCACCTGGCTGCACCTCCTGTCAGGGACCTGGAGAGAGGGAGAAGGTCCCCACTGTGGCTTCTCTTCTCCAGGCTGAGCCCCCCCAGCAAACTCAGCTGCTCCTCATCAGTCTTCTGCCCCGGCTCTTTTACCTTTTCTAGGCAACACCCACATTTTTTATCTTCCAACCCCCACATTTTATCATTCTGTAATTCTATTTCAGATCCAAAGGCAAAATATTTGTGAAGTCACCTAAAAGTCCTTAATATCTACTTTAATGCCCTGAAAAAGTTTGAGAAGGCTGATTTAATTTGTCCTCAATCTTTATCCTACAGATCCATCCCCAAACCCCGAGTCAGTGAAAAAACTGATCAGATCATTGGTGATCTGTGACTACAGAAGGAACTGACCCAAAATCTGTGATTAACAGCTACCTGTCTTAATGATGATTAAGAACCACACCTTGCTCAGTAGCAGAGAGAAACCTACTACTGACTCCAGTCAGGGCAGACACCCATCCCCAAGTCCAACCATTACCACAAGCCATGACGACTCCTCACACATACCATTTTCAACAGTCTTCTGTGGAGATTTGCTTTCCAATGATATTGTTGCAATTTTCCTCTCAATTCTAGTGGGAAAATAAAAAAGTTAAAGCACTTATTGCAAACCTTCTGCGGCAGATTTAACCTCATCATCTACCTTCCTCCTGATCACGTCTTACCAGATTACTGGAGCATAAAGCCAAGTCACCCAGACAGATATGTGTTACTAAAGGAACTTAAAAGCATTTAAAAAATCCCCAACACAAATGTTAAGTAGAAGCTATTACAGAATTACTGCTCTTTGCCAAGATTATGCACGTTCAGAGGACTTTATTGCTGTTTTCCTTTCACAACCAGAATTAGAACCACATTTCTATATTGGTTGCTTTTCACATAGAATCCCAGACTGGTTTGGGTTGGAAGAACCTGAAAGCCCATTTTGTTCCACCCCTGCCATGGGCAGGGACATCTTCCACTAGCTCAGGCTGCTCCAAGCCCTGTCCAACATGCCCTGGACCCCTCCCAGGGATGGAGCAGCCACAGCTTCTCTGGGCAACCTGTGCCAGTGCCTCAGCACCTCACAGGGAAGAATTTCTTCCCAATGTCCTAATCTAAACCTGCCCTCTGACACTTTAAATAAGAAAAAGATTGCCCCCACCAGGCAGGCAAAGCATGGCAAGTAATCGATTTTCAGAGAAACACATCAATAATTTGGGTCAGGAAGTGAAGAATCTTGAATCAACTTCAAACTGGAGTGAGCAGGAGAGATTCTTAGTTAGAGACCACAGACAGCCTCAAGGGCTCCTCCAAGGCAACAAAGGAGGAGATAAATCCCAAAACCATATAATATCCAGAGTTGGAAAGGACCCACAAGGATCACTGATCGAACTCTTGGCCCTGCACAAGACACCCCAACACTGCACCCTGTGCCTTAGAGCATTGTCCAAACACTCCTTGAGCTGTCAACCTTGGGGCCATGACCTGGGGAGCTGTTCAGTGCCCAAACACCTCTGGGGGAAGAACCTTGTCCTAATATCCAACCCAAACCCCTTGACACAGCTCCAGATGTTCCCTCGGGTCTGTCCCTGGTCCCAGAGAGCAGAGCTCAGAGCTGCCCCTCTGCCTCCCCTCGGGAGGAGCTGCAGACCCCAAGGAGTCTCCCCTCAGTCTCCTCTGTTTCTCTAAATCATTCCCATACCAGTTCTCCCAGAGGCCAACTCCTGCCAGCCTTGCAAAGAGCAGCAGCAGCAGGTTCCCACATTCCAGTTCCACTGCCTAAATACCTTCTCTGTTCACATTCTCAGCTGTGTAAGAGGCTCAGGGTAACAGAATGGATGTTCAAGCAAGGGGAACAAAGAGGCTTAACACACCCCTCCAGTTCAGAGGGCTGTTATCAGTTCTCAAGAGAAATCTCCCTCTGAAGCTGTGCCTGTGTATTCACCTGCTGCTATTGTGCTCATCCTCAGAGCCCTGCTCGTCATCCGATGTCAGGGGGGAGTAATGGACACCATTGGTCTGCACAAGAGGCTTCTCCTTTTTCAGCACCGGGGGCTGGTCATTGTCCTGGTAAGGAACAGGAGAGTTCTTCAGGGAATTTTCAGGAGAGGAAATGGCTGTTATTTCTAAAGGCTGGTTAATGTTATTGACCTGGGCAAGAAGGAGAGAAAGCAGTTACAAATGAGAGCATCCCTGGATGAACAAGGCATCTTGTTAAGGATATTAAAGCAGGTTTAATCAGCTCTAGGACATGCCAACGGTTGCTGTTCTATTCCATCACCATTACTAGAACCCAGGGTGAAAGCTTAAACGTAAGTTGGGAAAAGATCTATTTTTCATTCTCTGATTCCATGTTTAAAGGCAGAAATGAAGACAGGATAATCCTTTCCACTCTGCAGGATCCCACAAACATAACTCTATAGCTGGCTCTATTAGTAGGAATGCCATATGCTTCTGGCACTCTGAGACTGTTTAGTCAATCTTTACTCCCAACTATTTTCAAAATATTTAATCTACAGCCTAAAAAATATCAACTGCACTGCAGAAACAAGCTCTTTTTCACAGAATCAACCAGGTTGGAAGAGACCTCAAATATGATTGAGTTCAACCCTACCGACATTACTAGACCACGGCACTAAGTGCCACATCCAGTCTCACCTTGAAAACCTCCAGGGATGGTGAATCCACCACCTCCCTGGGCAGCACATTCCAATGCAGTCCACCTGACTACAACCTCCTTTCAGGTAGCTGTAGAGGGCAATAAGGACACCCCTGAGCCTCCTCTTCTCCAGGCTGAACATCCCCAGCTCCCTCAGCCTCTCCTCACGGCACCTTCACCAGACTCATTGCTCTTCTCTGGACCCACTCCAGCACCTCAATATCCTTCCTGA